GAAGACAGTGACTGGCAGTCCACCCTGACCATGAGGATGGTTCCACTCCCTGCTTACTCCACCCATGGAACTAAGAGGCTGCTCTTTATTGTTTGGTTGGTGCAATATTTCTCTGCAGGTGCTCCTGATTACACAGTTGTCAGTCGTAAATCCACCGTGGCAGAGATGAGGGAAGACCTTGTGTTGTGCTGCCTGGAAGGGTCTATGGACTCATGGAAGGGACAGTGCTCACCACACTTCCCATTGGTGTTTACTGTCAGTCATCTTGTCATTGTCAGCTCTGTGACAGCAGAGCCATGGCTCCTGGCTCATTCCTGTATCTGAGAGAGTTAGGACAACTGCTAGTGGGCCCAGTCTGTTGAATGAATGAAGGAATGCATGAGAGATTATGCACTTCCATACACTCAAAAGAGATCATCAAATGCCAACCAGGTCAGAGATGTGAGTAGAAGGAATGGGGAGGACTTTTGCGTTAACTGTTCATCTATAGTGAATTACTTTCTGTGCTGGAAGATTTACATACAATTTCATTTAGTTCTCACAATAACCCCAAGGTGGGAAGTGTTTGTCTCAGGTTGGGTTGTAGAAGCAGATTTCAAGGCAAGGATTTATTAAGAAGTTACTCACGGGATGACAAAAAGACAGCAGAGGGGGTGGGAACATGCAACAGGGACATGAGGGAAGCCGGGGAGGGTGCAAAGTCAAGGAAGCAGTTTTGGCTTGTCCTACAGAGGGATTCTGGGAACAGCTAAGCTCTCATGCAGAGCAGTTCCCTTTGGGAACACAGGAAAGCCAGGATTTGTGTGTGTGATGCCCTCAGTGCTTGGTTATGGCTGTAGATTTTCAGGCACCATTGGTGCCAAGCAGGCTTCGGCAGCCTGACCCGTGGGTGTCTGCCATTGGGAACGAGTGCACACAGAAGCCAGTGCGTTCAAGGATCCTAGTAGGAATTGAGGGATGTGGCAGAGCAGCGATAGCACTGTTGGCATTGGGTTGCTTTTTAGGCAAGGAACTGCCACTAAGAAATGTGGAATGGCTCACCCAGGAACACTCAGCTAAGTGATGGCCAGACTTGGATTTGATGTGCTCTGCATGCCTGCCTCCTCCTTACAGTGCTCACTCTGAAATGAAAGGGAAGTATAGGCCTCCACTTGCCTTATGGTCAGGGAGAAAGAGGGAAAGGACAGCACCTCCAAGGGGGATTTGGTGCCGGGAGGGACACTGCCTGCTGGGTTCTTCCCACAGAGCTGGCAGCTCTCAGGTAATTAAGGGGGGTGTGAGGGGTGTTCTGGCTAAATCTGCAGTAGCTTCTCCTTCTCACCATTCATCTCAGCTTCTGTGTGAGTTGCACCCTCTGGAAAAGGCTGTAGCCAAGTGCTATTTATCTCTGTGTGGGGAAAAGAGGCTTAACAAATTAGCTGATGCTTAATCGGTGAGAGAAAGTAGGAAGAAAAGTTGGCCAGTTGTCCTTTGGGGTTTTCTGATCAATTCTCTTCATCAATATTCTCTGTGCATGAGTCTGAGACCAGGTGGGAAGATTCCTTAGAGTACCCAGGGCTCCCATGTGCTCCCTGGCAAGTTCCTGCAACTGAGTCAGGTCTCTGTGCTGCTGATTCCTGTGGGGACATGCAGAGGACCTCTCTCACCTGCACAGGTGCACCCACATTTTCAGACTCCCTGCACATTCTGGAGCAGGGCTCCCAGTCCTGAAGTTTGAGAGAGATGGTCAGGGCTCTGAAACATCGCAGGATCACCATTCTCAGTGAATTTAGGATTCCTAGGACTGGGGCTCAGCGGTCTGCTTTTTAAAAAGCTCCCAAGGAAGGCTTTAGATTGTTGGGGAAGGCCATCCAGAATATGTAATTGCTGGTTTGAACTGTGAGCTAAACCCAGGCTTCCCACTCCCTCCCCTGCATATAGAATGCGTATTCTGCTTGCCTCCCCAGTGCTAGAAGCTGCCCAAAGACAGAGCCTTGAGATAGCCATGTGGTGATGAGGCTATGTGGACTGGGTTCATGACTATACCCAGTTAAGGCCCCCTATGGGCATAAGAATTCAGTTAAGGCCTCTAAATAAACTTTTAAGATTCTGGAAGGCAGGTGCAGAAAACTTGTCTTGCAGCCATCCAATACAAGCCTTGTAAGTTTCTCTTGCTTATTAAACGTGCCATCTACCAATCTGGAGTGGTATTCCCTTTTCTCTAGTCTCCTGCCCTCTGCATATAAAAGCTGGTTTCAGGTTGTACCCAGGAAGCTTCCGACCAGGTTTGCAGAGCAACCTACATGAAGCCAGATGGCAGAACCACTGCTGCGGAATGTCAGTGCACGATGAAGCCTTAGCTCTCACCCTTGACCAACCTCCATGCTGATACTTAAAATCTTTCAGGGCACTGCTGCTTGCCTTCCACTTAAGCACTTCCCATGAGACCTCACTACTCCTGAGGCAGCCTGTTCCATCCTGAATGACTTGGAAAGTCAGAAAGTTCTCTCTTACATTGAGCTGATACCTGCCTTTCTGACTACTAGAGGCCTTCCTCCTAGATTAACTCTCAAAAGCTGCAAAGAGTAGTTCCAATCTCTCTGGCACATGACAGTTCTTTATGTATTTAAAGAACTGGCCTCTACTGAACTGGCCTGTACTGAACTGACCTCTAAGCATCCCTGGTCACTTTAACTGGCCGTTGGTTTACACTCTTCTACTCCACGATCAATTCCAGTCTGCAATGTCCCCCTTTAAGCCCAGTAGTCAACCCCTCAGGGAGCAGAATAGACCCATAGCTTCTTGCCTTTCATGGATCTTTATTCAATGCTATTGCTTTTAAGTCTCATCTCCCTGTTTATCCTTCTGCTCCTGGAAACAAGTGTAGGATGTTGAGATCAGCCTTGTTAAACCACATCTCTTCTCAGATTCAGTTCAGTGTTCTGGCTTTCTGAGGTGTTATGGCCTCCTCACAGCTCTGTGTCATGTACAGACTTGATGGGCATGTGACTGGCATCCTCCATGTGAGCATTAAAGAGGCGCTGGGGGGTTGGGAATGGCTCAGACCAGAGCTCAGCAGGGTGCTGCAGAGTGTCCTCAGAGCACTGTGAGTCCACTTCTTCCTCTCCCACTCCTTCCCTGGGCCTCTGAGCATCTGAAGATACTCTTGAAAAGTCTGCATGTTGAGAGGAGAGAGGCTGTGGGCTGGGTGGTCATGACTTTCCTTGAAGGCGCTTTCTCTTTTTCACCCCTTCTAAGCATCTGAAGTCCTCCTAGGTTCTGTGGAGAGGGCCTGGTTTACAGGCATATAGAATGGGTCAGGAGGTGTCTTCAGGACACCGTCCCATGAGATGCTCAGGCTTGTCCATACTCCTGTCTCTACTTATCTTCATGTGGGGCTGGCATCCTCTTATTTGCTGGCTGGAGAAGGAGTCTGTATTCTTCACCCCAACATGGCCCAGGAAAAGCCCCTGGGCCAATTCTTGGTGTTCTGTGTAAAGATGTGGGATGCTAGAGCTGCCCTGAGCACTCCCCAGCCTCTATTTCCACACACTTGTTGTATTGGCCAACAAAGTTGTCCATTGCTTATGTAAGTGAGGTTCTAAAAGAGCCCTGTGTAATAACAGTGCTGCGACCTGGGGCTCACATATGTCTGGTAAATGGGGAGGCAGGGTCCTTACCCCTCATCTGTTAAGGATGAGTCAGATTTCTATGTCTGATGAGGAAAACTGTTCTTGATACAACAGTAAGTCAAAAATGATAGCTATATCCTGCTGTGTATGTCATGATGCTATTTTAATAAAAAAATCTGTCTGATATGTGTATATAGATATTACTTGCAGATGTGACTAAATATTTCTGGATGGGGACACCTCAAATTATCTTTAGGGGGTGAATTTGGAGAGATAATGGGGCATTTTTACTACTTAGCACATTTTAAAAATGGGGCAAGGTTATGGGATGATATTGAACACTCTTATTTTTCTGTTTCTTTTTTCAAATAAAAAGAGTAATAAAAATTACATTACAAAAATACAAAAAAGAAAATGAAAGAGGGCTATGATCTGATAACTCTTTGCCAGGTTCATAGATGGCCTGGCACAGTGCTTAGAGCTCGGCAAGTGCTTTGCACATGCAAAAGGTGAGTATTTTTACAGAACATGCTTGGAAACTATCAGTTCTTCCTTCTTTCTTCAAAAAAGAACTCATAAAAATATCTGAGAAACAATCTAAGTTACTGGGTCCTATCTGTTTTGCCTTCCAGCATTTCATTCACACATTCAACAACATTTATTGAACACCTATTCTGTGCTAGTTATGGTATAAGTTTCTGGGACATTATTTTGACCAAAACAGATGTGGCCCCTGACCTCATGGAGACCCCCTACCTGGTGGAGGAGATAGATAATAAGAAATAAATAGACTGATAACTGTTCAAGCACAGAAATGGCAGATACTATAAAGAAATAGAACAATGTACTACAAGAGAGAAATGATAGGGGTAGATTTACTGCTCAGGATAGAAAGAGCCAGTTCTCTTGGTCCTAAAGAATTGAAGGCAGCTCAGACCCTCAGCTGTGAGCTTCTGTCTTCCCAGGTATCATTCAGATGACTGGACAAGCTGCCATAACCCCCTCTTCCAGATTTCTGATCCTCTTGCCTCGAGCAATGATGACACATCCCCTAAGTGCCCCTCCAGAAAGGATTTTACAGGCATTATCCAGGAGGGGAGAGGTGCCCAGCCTGGGGTTCTGTGAAGCCTGCAGGAATTGAAACTTCTAACCTTGCTCAGGGCTAGCTTGTGGAAGCTCTGAAGAATAGCTGCAATCAGATGTCTGTGTTCAAATGACTTGTCTTGTAGCTCAGGCAGCCAAAGCTGGCCCCAGGGGGACAGCATGTTTTGTGAAGAAAAAAATTCTCCAAGAACAATGTTTATCAAACCCTGTCTCGACAATCATCCTGTGTGTCTGTCAGCTTCTGGCTTGCTTCTGTTCACATTCATTTTCTTTTTCTCTCTGCAGGCTGTGGAGACCAACCTGGCTTCCAAGGACAGCCACTGGGTCTTTGTCAATGAGGTAAGAGCTCAGAATGGCGAGGTGTGTGGACTTCCCTGAGCCCTGCTCGTGGGGAAAGCTTAGAGTGATTTGTTCAGGTCTAATTCTGACATGCGGTGCTGGAGCAATTCCAGGGCTCCACCGTGCCCAAACAGGAGGTCAGAGATTAGGACTTGACCTGCCAAGATGCTCACCTGAAGCAGGTGCAAATCAGGGAAAGAATTTAGACTTGTTTCCACAAGGAAGTCTAAAGTCAAAGAGAAGTTGTATCAGGTGTTTGATGTGCAGGGTGAGTGGAGGTAGCCATTCAGGCCAGGGGCTGGAGAGATGAGATTAGAAAATGGGCTGCAGAAAGGACAGGGCAAAAGAATGAGGAGGAGACAGAGGTTGTATTTCATGCAGGAGGTTGAAGGTATGTGTGTTATGTGCTTCTGTGTGAGTGGATGTACTAAGAGTATGTGTGTGAGCATATATGTATGCAGACATGCATGTGTGAATGTGTAGGGATAAATGTGTGCATATGTATGAGTGTGTGAGTGTGCATGTATGTGCACATGTGAATGTACAGGTATCTGACTGTGTGTGTGTGTGTGTGTGTGTGTGTGTGTGTGTGTGTGTCCCATGCAGCTGGCGGGGGCGGGATCTCTCCCATTGACTGGCCATCCCCCTGGTTTGACCCTGGGAGGAATGACAACACCAAAGTTTCACGGTGGCTTGGTCAGTTCTCACTAATTACACCCTGGCCTCCTCCATGCTGCAGGCATGGCACAGATGTGTCCTAACCATGCCCTAGCTCTCTCAAAGAATCCTCTCTTCTCCCACAGTCTTTCAGGAAGCACTGACCAGGGCAGCCTGGGTGACCCTTGCAAGCTAATAGCAGAGCTTATGCTAGAAGGTGTTTTCTAGTATCTGCTTTCATCAGGGCCCTGGCCTCAGCTGCTTCTAATTAACTGATCAATTTCTAATGGCCTCATCCTAGAAGATGCAAAGTTTATTATGCTGGTAATTTATTTATTTATGATGTGTGTTTCTTCTTTAGCACAGTGCTAATATGGCTGGAATAATTTTGGGTGGCTTATTTTAATAATTTCACAGGTATATCAGGTAGAGGCTGCTTGCAAGGCCTACTTTTCATGGATTTCCTCCATAAATATACGTCTTACTAGCCCCATGTCCTCATGGGCCAATTTGAGACATGTGCAGTAACCATCTGCTTACCTTGGGTTGCTGATGGCTGTGCTGGTAATTAGAAGGGACGAGACAGTCACTGCCCTGTCATTCACAGCCTACATGAGTCCTCCTTGGGACTCGGGAAGTTTTGATCCTCTGGGTTTTGCCACCTTCTTTACAGGTTCTTTAAAGTCCAGTTTCCTTTGTTCCAGAGAAGGGCTGTATTCCATGTGTCACCTAAGGCAACTATCTGCTGCTGGCTTTTTTTTTTTGGTGACTCCTCCAAATTGGAGAGCCAGGGTTTCTCTGTTTCACAGTCTTCAAAAGTGTTCCGGTTTTATGTTTCTAACCTGTTTTCTTTTCTCCCCCCTACATCTTGACTCACCCCCAGGGCCCCCTGTCTGTCCCTCTTGATTCCCTCACCAGGGCTGCAGTTCATTTCAGACTGGCCTGTATAAGGCACTCCAGGGCATTGCTGGGGCACTAGAACCCAGGGTTTACTTCACATCATCAGCAGGAGTCAGTTGAGGGCACACTTGTCAGAGCCACATGGGAACAGCCTTGCCCAAGACAATGGCTGTGCCCCACCCATCAGAAGTGCACCCTGGGCCAGCACACCCTGGGCTGAGTGTGTCCTCCAGAGGGACCTTCCTCGTTCTGCGTTTCCTTTTCTGTGTGGAGGTTCTTCCCCTTGACAGTGAAGGGATAGCAGCTACCATTGTTCGATCATCTATTATATATGCCAGGCACTTTACTACATTTGTTACCATCCTTAGTCCTTAGTAACAACCCTAATGGCAGTTATTATCATCCCCATTTTACAGATGGGAAAAGGGAGGCGCGAGAGGTTAAATCACAGGTTCAAGGTCATATAGCTATTAAACAGTGCCTTTGGTATTCTATATGATGACTTTTTGGCTGCAAAGCCCTTTACCAAGTGACACTATCATGCACATGGCCCTGGCAAAGATCTTTTACTGGTGGCCAGGGTCTAATTCAGTAAGGCCAAGTCAGTAGGGCCCAGGTACGCATACTGACAGGGACACTCATGGATATTCTTGAAATCTGCAAGGGGCCTCTTGTAAAGTTTTGACCCACAGACCCTGGCAACCCCTACATGGCCTCTGGCTAATGATGCAGGTGTTCTCTAACCTGTGTATAGGTTTGTCCTTCGGAGCCAGCTATATTTAGAATGCCTGTTTCCTGTTATAGCATGGCACTATTGAAGACAAAAGTCCTGTTACTCTTAGGACAGTTGCTGGCTAGGATAAAATAAGGTGGGGGAAAAAGTCAGGTGCGGGCATTTGGTGCCTCCAAGATTCAGTAGCTACACTGGGGCCCCATCTTTTTGCCTCCAGAACTAAAGGAAGCTCAGTTTCTCAGAGGAGCTGAGGTCTGGGCTTCTTCTCATGTCTTCTCCCAAAAAGACCTGCAGTAGGTCCCCAGTTCTGCCCCTTCTTGCTTCAGCTCTCTCAGGGTGTGTCCTCCAATTTCCCTCTCTGTATTTGTCTTGCTTAATGTATTTTCCTAGATTCAGGATAAACACTCAAGGGCACGTGTTTTTGTTTGCTTTCTTTATGCAGTGGTTTTCCTACCATGACTCTCTTCACTAGTGAATATTGGTGTTGCATATGATAGGCTTGTTTTGTTTAGAGAAGGGGAAATTGGATTCAGACAAAGGCTGGTGAGTCTGTGAGCCTCGCTGATAGTTTCTACGGGTCTCTGTACTCCACTGTGGGGACTGGCAAACAAAAGTGCTTTGGGGTATAAACTGTATTTTCATCGATTACATTACATGTTAGCTTGGAGGAGGGTGGAGGATCCAAAAGAACTTGAGAGAAACACTGAACCATTAGTCAAGGGGGCCAGAATCCCCAATGCCTCATGCAAACTTTAGATTTTTAAAAAGGTTTCCTTGAAGTCAGGCTGATGTACACAGGGTAGCACAAGTTCCTTTGATAAGCACTTCCCAGTTGGCCTTCTAGAGAAGACAGAGGCAGTAATTAAGACCAGAGTTTCAGGGACAGTGGGGACCACTCTGGGTCATTCATCAGAAGCTGCCAGTTCAGGACCAGTCAGCTTTGACTTTGGATGAGCTAGGTTGCTTCTGGAACCTTGTTATCAGCTAGGCTGGAGTGCTGCCTCTCTACCTGTGTGGCCTTCAGCAGCTCCCAGGTGAGCTAGTCTGGCCTGTTGACTCACAGGTGTGCTCAGGTCTGGGAGGAATCTCTACAAAGAGGGGAATGGACTACTGTGAGTCTCTGTATCCAGGCAGGAGGCATGTATCCTATAGTATAGCCTTTTGGGAACTTTTTGGAGGAAATTATCTTATGGAATATTTATATAACTTCCAGTTTCTTCTAGAGCCAACCATGATGCAGACTTGAAGCTCTCCATTTATTGTTAGACAGCTTGCATTGTTAACCCACTTCTTCCAAACATGGAACCAAATTACACTTTGATGGAAATGGTTTAAACTGCTTAATCTGCAGTGCAGAAGCACATGCACAACCTGTGTGGTGATTAGGTTTTCTCAGCAAGTGAATCTGTGATCTGTGGCTCAGCAGGGGCCCAGGGGGAGGTGGCTTCTAAGGAGAGAGGAAGCACAGCTGACAGGCCCTCAGCACTCCTGCCCTATTCCAGCATACGTTGATGATGCCACACCCCATGTCCATTCCAGACCCTGCATCTGAGCTTTAGATCCAGAAATCCAGATGTCTTCTTGACTCAGCTGCTTAAAGGCCTTATAACCACCTCTAGCTCAATGCATCTCTCTCTGAATCCATCATCTGCTCCTAACACGGTTCTCACTCCGAGCTCCAATTTCAGGACCAGTGTCCCATCCTTCTAGTTACCTCCCTAGCCAATGGAGAAAAGTCCTGATCATGCGCCTGCCTTCAGCCCACTCCAGGATGGCCCTGACCATGTCTGTGCATGTTAATTTACTTCTCAGCCTTACACTCACTAGCTCAAGGATCATCCCTGCAAGCAGTGAATGGGTGACTTGCTGTTTCCTATATTTATTCTCCTTTCCTGACTGTGGGCCTTTGCTAGGATTTCTTTTTATGCCTGGAATGCCCTTCATGAATCTTTGATTGTCAAGGACATATTTTTCCTGCAAGGGCCTGCTAAACATCGCCTCTGCCCTGAGGTCTTCCTGCATTTCCCCCATTAGAGTTATCAGTCTTCTTGCCACAGCTCTGCTGCATTTGGGACTGATACACACACTTGACTCCTTGAACAGCTTGTAAGTGAAAGCTGGATCTCTTTTCTGTCTCGTCCTGAGGGTCCCCAGTGTGAGGGGCTCAGCCACAGAGGAGGTGCTAGGTGAACACTCCCACTACAGCATCTGCCTGTTGCTCCCTCACCTTGATGTTGCTTGTCTAATTGCCTACACATGGAGGGAGAGGCATTTATAACCATCTCAGTGTTTCATGGGCTCCTAAAGCTGTGATCCTCCTCCATGAGCCACAGCTGTCAGTACCCCTTGTTCCATGGCACCACCTTTCCCTGCACGTGCAATATTAGTCCCATGGGGTACAAGCCCTTCCTCTGAGGCATATGCCTGCTCCTTTCAGCCTGGACCAGGCCATTGTCAGGTAACAGAGAATCCAGGGAGGCGGGCAGGGGAAGCACCAGCCATGCTTCCTACAGCAGTCTCCAAATTGTACTAATTTGTAGGTGTTTTGTGGGAAAAGGATTCTGTGATCAAAGAGGGTGGATAACTTAAATGGCAAGGAACAGGTGTCTCCTGAAGGCATCTTTTGTCTGTCATGTATGCAGTGCTTTCCAAGGATGAGGCAGTGCACACTGTCTGCCACATGCATTTTTGTTTCCAACACAATTCTGTA